AAAATCAGGACAGAATGACTTTGAATATATAGTAACACATGAATTCATTCATGGACTAGGTTTCGGGTCAAGTTGGAGAAATTATTTTAGCGCTAGCATATTAACTCCATTGCCAGTCGACAATGGAGCGAATTTTGCAGGATTTATGGAAACAAAATTTGATAGATACATGTTCGTTAAAATGAATGGCACATTTGTACCGATGACTTCACTCACTAAACAGCTTAATAATTTTTTTTCGAAAAAAAAAGTTTCAAGTAATATAGATACGTCAAATCAGTTCGCAAATTCACCACAATTTGCACTTGCACAACAATTATTCACTGCTGCATCTACACCGTCTTCAATGAATTTTGTAACTAATTCGAATGATCAAATTTCATTAGAAACTAGTCTAAATCCTTTTCAAGAAGGATCAAGTGTTAGTCATGTAGATAAATCTTTTACGCAAAATGGTGATTTTTTAATGACATTTGCGGCGAAAGATGGTGTTACTCTAGATGATATTGCACAAAAGAACGGAGTTTCTAATAGTGCCGGTATTGGTCCTAAAACTCTTAAAGCTCTGGAAACTTTGGGGTAATGTATTTATTTGGTAACCAATGTTTTTAACCATCATAATTTTTTTTCTAAATTTCGTATATACATACGTATTTTTTTTTAGGTATAAAATTCAAGACGGCTCGAGTATTAATTTACAATCCCGTGCTTCAAACGTACACATCCAATCACTAAATATTAGCAAAACAATTGGGATCATTGCTTTTGCTTTTTTACTTCAATTCGCCATTTTATAGAACATAATTTAGAATTGGTTAAATTAAAAATTTTACATTATAGACTTTTGTCGTTATATATTATTTACTACAATTATTGAAATTGTTGGTTGAGCAATAGTATCCCAATAATTCGCCATCGCTATTAGGAGCGCGACTATATTGGCATCAGTCAAAGACCATGCGTATATACTTGTAATTATCGTTATTATTACAAGTATTGACTGCCAGCAACCGTTACACGAGATGCCGCAGAACGTAGTCAATAACGATGATAAATTTGTTAGTTTCTCAAAAATAACCACTTAAAATCATATGGTAAAAGCCAACTTTGAACAAAGGAATAAACACAAGAATATAGATTTTGTATATAACCTCTTTTTTTTTTTAATTAGTTACATTTTCCATTTAAAGAAAAAATTACAATGTTGCAATGTTTCATTTGACTAAAACAATTTTTCATAATGTTGCAATGTTTCATTTTGACTAAACAATTTTTCATAATGTTGCAATGTTTCATTTTGACTAAACCAATTTTTCAGGATCCTTTACAATAAAATAAATAAAAAGTTAAAATGCTTATATCCAAGTGACTTTCCCCACTTTCCAATTTATATATATACTGCGTATTTTATAATATTACATTTATTTATCTATATACATATATATTATTAAAATAACTACGTACTACATATTTTATAATAACTTACTAAGTCCGCATTTACCGTATTTATTTATTTATTATTTATTATTGTTTTTTCTACGTAATTATTAGGTTACGCGGATCACGCGCGATGCCCATCACTACTTAAAAATCTGTGGACCCTATGAAAGAACACTCTAGTGTTCCGAAAAAATGTGAAACAAGAATATCGTTTCTAAGATCTGAGAAATTGAGCGTAGGACCACTCGGTGTACTCCTTCAAGTACCACTCAAACTTACTAATTTGAGATTAAGTAGAATTTCGAATGCTATTTTACTAGGTTTTAATTTGTCGAGTAACTTCTAACTGTAAATCATAATAGTTTCACCCTGGTCAATGCTACGTATTATCCGAAGTTGGATAACTTTGTTGGAACGATCAGCCAACTGATAGTCGGTTAACCGAAGATATAATTTTTTCTTCTTTTTTTTCCATTTTTATTTTATTTATTTATTGATTCTTTAGCAAGAGCTCTTTGTCAGTGAAAAAATTCGATAAAGTTATTGAATTGAACGCTATATTCGATAATGTGGGGCTTAAATACTAGTGATAGTTGGAATTGCAAGAAAGTTGATTTTTTAATATAGTTAGAATTAATAGGAAGATTGATCTTAAACCTTTGTTTTTATCGATGGGACAACTGCTTTATGCATAGAGGCTTTGTATCATTATGTTCATAGTAGGACTTTCATAAGATTGCTATTTCTTTTGAATTTTGAATTTTCATTATTTATACAATTTAAAGTATTTTTTTTCAAAAACAGCACAATAAAAAAGAATTTTATAGGGGTTTCATTAGTTGTAGGACTCTTGTTAAAACGTATCTTTTTAAAAAAAGTCAGTATAATAGCGACTTATCAGAAACGGATAAAATAAATTCATGGCTAACTTTTTATGAAAGATAAAGATTTAACAAGAGTCCTACAACACTAGCAAACTATACAATTCTTATTTTATTGTGTTTTTGTTTTTTTTTTTTTTTTTTTTTTGAAAAAGTACTTTAAACTGTATAAATTCAATAGAAAGTCTTCCCACGATCGTTACGTCCATCAGCCTCACATCAGCCTCAAATGTTTTGAAACCATTACACTGATTTAATGTAATAAAACAATAATAAAAGTAAATAAAATAACGGGTTAACCTGGTCTAATTATCGATTTTATACCGTTTCGAATTATTAGCTTTTCATAAATTTCTGTGTTAATTTACTAAGAATGATTATTATCCAGAATTCTGTTACGTCATGGGTATTCATTCATCAATTAGGCAACTCGAAGTTTCAATCTGTAATTATTTTTCATTTTATTGTATGCATACTCAATATAACTATTAGACCTACATACCCATACCCTGTCTAGTCGCTAAAACCACTCTTATGTTCTTGATTTCTTGATTTGAAAATGAAAGTAATGAAGTTTTAATAATTTATATCATTAATTTAATAATAATTTGATTTGAGTTTGGCACTATTGACCAAAATGGGACATATCCCAAATTAAGTAGAATCCCGATTCCCAAACCCAACCTATGTAATAATGTTAATAATTCTTATCATCATCATCATTATTATGGTGAGAGGCCATAAAATGATGCTCTTGCATCATTGGAACTTGTATCGTTGAAGATTGCAAAGCAATCGTAGAAGTTGACGGAGGTTGGGATCCGTATATAGTTTGTGATCTAACGGGCAGAGACCTTCCACTCGTTTGTTGCTGTTGGTGACCGACTGCCCCTTCAGCGTAAGATTCTTCAAATGATTCTTCTTTTCCTTCAAGATCAAATATCATACCAGTTGAATCTCGCTTTTTATGTGTATGTCCATTATCACGTGATTCGGGTCCAATTCGTGTCTTTAAACCTCGAGTCTTTGTGGAAGCTGACTTATTTTGGTAACGCAAAATGAGAAATACGACAACGATCACACCGATTACTACTACTGCAATTATAATCACGACAAGCGCGATTACGAATGGCGAATTTATATTGAATTCCGATCCCTCATTAGTTGTAGCCATACATAAAGGTATGCAAAAAAAAGAAAAAAAAAACGAAAATATTATAATTAATATTAACAATTAAATGTCTTTGCAAAAGATTAATTTATGAAGAATTCTAATTTTATCTTTTTTTTTTTTTTATAAAAAATTACGGATTTGTTTTTTTTTTTGAGTTTTCTTTTTTGATTTCAAAAATGATCGATTTTCGGAAAAAGGAAAATTTGATATCCATCTATGAAAAGAAAAAAAAAAAAAACGTCTCAATCCTCATAATATTCAATATATCAAAAATATGTGGCTGTGTTTTCATTCGGGAGAATAGTTAATAATAAAGAAAAAAAAAAATTATTATTAATCGACCTTCTTTCTTATATCGCATAGCCACTCCATTTTCGAAGCGGATGCCTCTTTTCTTGGATTCACACACGATCATAACCTGGAATGTTTTTTCCCTCGTTTAAATAATTTACCATATCGATGTTAATTTATTATGTTGATTTTTTTAAAGCCACCACATTTGCAAAATACGTAGCCTCCCCGCCAGAAGTGTTAAAAACGATTTAAATAGATTCGAGATGATATTAAAAAGCTTTTGGATTTTTTGTAATCATTAAAATAAAAGGTCTTATTTCTTTTTTTGTATTCATTTGGAACCCATCGATCTACGTCATTATGCATTTAACCTGTTTATG